TCATCATGTATTTATATACACAGTGTATTATATATCACCTTACCGTCGTCATGTATTTATATACACTATGTATTATATATTACCTTACCGTCATCATGTATTTATATACACAGTGTATTATATATCACCTTACCGTCATCATGTATTTATATACACAGTGTATTATATATCACCTTACCGTCATCATGTATTTATATAACCTTATTTTCCTATTGTAGTATGTATCAGTTTACTTTCCTATTTGGCATGTTTGAAAATGTTCTTGTGACAGGTTTAAATAACTGTATCCTGTTGATTAAAGGTATATATATCTTTAATGTGACAACGTTATAACATTCCTGATTGGGAATCATTTATTAACTGGTTTATTTTAGAAATTAAGATTTATATTCGGTCTACATGTTGACCCAAAATGCAGCGAACAAGATCTGGAAAAAATGGGAAAATGTCAGCGTTCTTTTAGAATGAACCATCTGATAAATTATCTGTCAGTACATCTTCCTCAAGGACCTTTGTAAAAATGTATTTAAAATATGTGATTGATGCAGTAAAAAAAAAGAACAAAGACAAACAAGAATGTATCAGTCTAATCTCACAATTATAATAATAAGAGTAGTATGTATCAATATAATGAAATTTCCTTTCTGTCAAAGTATTATAGAGAGGTGTGTGAATCAAGTTAATGTAGCAGTCTATTGCCTGATGTAAAAACAAAAGTTAAACGTGTAAGTTCCATAGGTATAATATACGGTATTTTGTAGTGGTATGAATTTATCATCATTGGGTCGTGCGTTGATATATATTACGGTTTGTTATTATAGTAAATCAAGTATAGTCATTTGTATCAGCTTGTCATATCTAAGCGATTTATTGATATGCATACATTTCAAACACTGCGTGAACGAAATATAGTTATAAAGTTACGCTGTAATCAAGAATTTACTTTTTGAAATTTGTGTAAAGTAAGTGGATTCAACATTAAAAACCGCCAACCATGTTTACTGATTGTTTAGGTCTTTCCTATGTGCTGGTCTAATTTTAGCAACCTACTGGGAAACATGGTCAAACTTCATCTTTTGGAAGATTTTAGATTTTAAGACAGTAATATCTTCGGAAATCTCATTTGAGTTTTGTCGATCACTTAAACAATCCATTCTGAAGCAATGGAAGCAAAGATCAGAGGCTACTTAAAACATATGAAGTACACTGCTCAGAAATTTGTACAGATGATACCTTTACGATACCTTATTTTTGTAATAACTATGTAACTATCTGGTCCTAATTATTAGAGCAGGTATACATTAACTACAGGACCTATCCAGACACAGTAGCCAAACTTACACAACCAGAAACCGTCGGCACTTTCCGTAAACGAGAAAATACTCGTTTACGGAAAGTACCAACGGTTCCCAATACTTACTATGTATCAGAAACAGTGTTAGTCTCTCTTTCCACGAGAAAAACTTCTCCCGCCAAGTATCGCCTGACGTCATGTAGTCTTCTTCTGAGAACAAACAATATGGTCTTGTCTGTTGATGTTACAATAACCTATGCAATAGCTTTTATTATCTGAAATGTCCGAGGTAAACTAGACAATATGCTTTAAGCATTCGCATCATCCCGTATAAACATACATTAATGTTTCATAATCAGTTTCAAGGTTAGTCAGTTTTTTTCATGAAATTCTTATATGACCTCATTGATTAGATATTTCGAGCACTATTAATGATTTGAAGACCCTCTCGTGCATTTGCGGTTACGTTAAACTTGAATGATACTTCAAATACGTACTTACTGTAATTTTTCCAAGTGTTGATATCACATCTACCCATACTTTCCCGATACAATATTTTTACACTTCATACTTCGAGTAATCTGTTCTGAGGTGATGGAAATATATGGACGATTCTTCACAAGCTTTAAACACTCAACCGTTAACAAGAAGGACAGCTGAACAATATTTGATAAAACTTTATGTGTGGTTTTCATCCCGGACATGTGCTTTTCATCCCGGACATTTGGTTTTCATCCCGGACATGTGGTTTTCTCTAAAGACACAAACTAGGGGTTGAATTTACCTTTACCATTCCATTAGAATGTGAAAGAGACAATGAATTTATATTTCTGCTTCTGTTGTTCGCGACATATTAGGTTGTCATTGAGAAATTAAAATGAAGGAAGCTAAAAGAGAACATTACCAACCATTGCGATAGGACCTCCCTAAGAGCGGCTCCGTTATGCTGCTGTGGGATGGGTCTTGGAGACATGCTAAATACAAGGTAATTGAAATATGAATTTAGTTTTATGTCATGGATAGTCTAATATTTCGCGATCCGTATGCGTTATGTATGTATCCGGTCCATGTAATTGGTGTAAAAGGCAATCACATCCCTTTATATGTTTCATGTCTGAAATGTTAAAACTGATTGTATCCCCAGTGACCGACGATAATGACCTACCCTCTCTATCGACCAATGCGAATGACTGTATCATCTGCTTTGACAAATGAGACTAACTTATCCTCCATAGTGATCAATGAGATTGACTGTATCATCCCCAGTGACCAATGAGATTGTCTGTATCATCCCCAGTGTAGACCAATGAGATTGTCTGTATCATCCCCAGTGAACAATGATATTGATCTATCATCCCCAGTGACCAATAAGATTGGTTTATCGTTCTATGTGACATGATATAGAAGGCAGTCCAAACAAGACAGTACATATTGTGTATTGAGGAATACTTACCGGTAGATATGGGAAATTCAATAATGAAGAAAATAAAGCTAGCCGACACAACCACACTGATGATGAAGGCAGAACCAAAGCGTGAGTGTCCATCCACCTCCTTCGTCACGTTCATACCGTAATGGACACAACTGACCACCAACGTCACACCTAAAACATTGCGGTCAAAATGATTGACAGATTGGTGATCCTAGCCCTGTTGTTGGCACCAGCCATTTTTATGAATAAAGATACATTCGTTATCTTAATCTATACATAATTTATACCATAAATCGTGGTCGTGATAGAAACACTTTGGACACCCATATAACTATATCTCAGTGTTCAAATATCATTCACAATTTTGTTGTCCTAAATGATAAATGTATTTAGCCTATGATACCGTTACAGCACAGAGAAGATTTTATCAACCGCACACATAATCTAAAGACATCCAAGGTTCTTTCCAGGCTTAATCCAAGAAACCTTCCTTTTACCCAGAGGCCTGCTGAAAATGACACCATCTGCAAGCTTAGTTCAAATGATATGAACAATTTAAGCAATCTTTATAGTCTATCAATTAAATTGGAACCGTAAGGCTCAAAAGTTATTACAGAGGAATGATTTAGTAAGAGGGTGATACCAGTGTAACACCGTTTTGTTTTAGGAATCCAATCAATCAGAAATCGAGTTTTTCGATTTCTTCCTCGACAGCATCCATACAGGTTTCAGAGAAGTTTGGTGGATGATGATGAAAATCGCATCCGCATGATGTTAATGCTTACATTTTCAAAGATGTCCACTTAAAGATTAAAACACCTGACAAAATAGTTTTTTACTCAGGTTTCCACGAATTAATACACTACCTGAACATATGTGGGTTATCAAAAGTGGAACTCGGAATGTGGGCACGAAAACAAGGGTGGAGCTGAAGATAACAGCCAGTAGATATAGGACGTACGCTACCATGGTGATATCACGACACGTGAAAAACCAGCCTGAAATTGAAGAGGTAAGTAACAGTATTAGTCACAGTCAATTTAATACACATCACAAAGGTTTCATTTTAAGATTTTTTAGAACTTTCTCCTAGCCCATTTGGTATATCATATTAACTAGATCTACCATTTTATCTACAAACCGGTTTTTATCAAATCCTGACTGTTTCTCCACTGTTAAATTCAGTATATCGTATTTATACTTTATCATTCTATCGTTCAGAGGTTCAATATTTTATGCAAAATATGAGTTTATTTAATTCGTTAATTCACCGACGATTTTCGTATAATACTCGCCTCCCACTTGAAAGTCCTGAACGCCCTGTTTTTGGGTTGTTAGTATCTGATATGATCAGGTTTCACTGTATAGTTATTGAGAACGAAAAGTAATCCTTTAAATTAGACTTCTGAACCATATTCAAACCTTGTTAATGTTTATTTCGTAAATTAAAATTACTTTGACAAAAATATAATATAACAAGAGGCCCATGGGCCTTAACGGTCACCTGATATATTTATATAGAGAGTTGATTTTGTTTTTAACATGAACAGAAATATTATTCAAAGTGACAAAAAACAATAAAACCACCTTATTCAATATCTAGCATACAGATTTCAGACTAAAAAGTATTTGAAACTAGCACCTCTGATTCTAAACAAGGAAAATGAAGAAATTTTAGCACACTGACTCCTTTGAGCCCCACCCTACAGCCCTTGGGGGTAGGGCTGGCTCAAAATTTTCTAAGTATCAAACAGTCAACTCAAGGTTATAATTCCAATCAAGTTATTAACATGTAATATT